TTTATGTTGTCCTTCTCACCTGCCTCCTTCAATTATATGTATATGTATATATTAAGTTCATGATGAAGTAACGTCATAAAATTACAAGAAAATAAAAAATACTCCTTAAAAGTGCATCTGATCAGGTAGCGTGTCTCTCACAGGCTTTCCAGAAAAAGAAAATGAAAAAAAAAATAAAAAAGCATCAACAGGCTTCTTCAAACTATTCTGGAAGCTGATATTCTGAATTCACTGATAGCTTGGTCATTTAGACTCACATTAGTGATTGTTTTTTCCCTCTTGCCTCCTTTCTAATCTGTTGAACTGAGATGTTGAGTAGTTATGGGGAAACTACTAATAAAGATGATAAATTTGGCTCTAAAGGTTTACTAGAGCGAAACTTCAAACAAAACAAAAAAAAAAAGAGAGAAAAAGAAAAAATTAGGCACCTGTGTGTGAAAGCATTATGTGTAATGATCAATATCTAATTATAACATAATTATGCTTTTTAAATGAATGTAGATAGTTTAAAACTAAAAGATGATCATAGAAGTAGATGTGGAGATGTTTTTAACATGTCCCATTGTAGCCATTACTCTAATATTACTTTTCATGTAAATGTGACTGGCTTTGTGCCCCAGCTACTCATGATAGACATATCGTTGTAATGTTATAGTAACAAATGTCAAATTGCAACCAGAGGTAGTATTTTAATCTATTTGCAATTGCATTTTCAAACTATTTCCCCCACTTCTGCGATCATTACATGTTTTACTTAATTCGGTGCAATATCTAAACTTTGCATCCAATTATTTCAAGAGCAGTGAACTCTGGCCTGGTGACAATATGGCCAATTTATGTTAAAGAGAGAAATACGTAACATAGGCTGCTGTCTCTATTCCATTATTTAGACTGTAAATACTGCATTATTGTTTACTTGTGACTAGTGATGCTGAACGATTTGCTTCATTGTTTGTGCCCCTGATCCAGTTCCTTAGAAGTGTGAATTCCCTTCTCTAGATTTAGCATAATTACAGAGAGGTTATGGCTCACCATGTAGGTAAGTGAAAACTGAAAGGTATCGGGTTTTGATTTTTTGTTTGTTTTATTTGTGGGGGTTGGGAGGAACACAGACAAACGGACGGACAACTTCAATAGTGTCCTATGAACATGAAGGCAGTTATTCTGTAGTTTTATGTAGCCATGCACCCTTGGATTCTGGATTAAGAACAATAAATTGAGTATCATTTTTCAGGAGGGATAGAATTGCCTTTGTCTGATCACACAGTCATAATAGGAATAATAATATCACATATATTTAAGTAACATTTATGTGAAAAAGCACAAAACACTGGCTTCCTAACTGCGGGGTTCATTACAGTGGAGCTGACCCCTTTGCCCTGCTGGGATGAAGCTGTTTAAGCCCAACTGGTGCAGTAATCTTTTCAAGTGCTCTTTCGCCCCGCTGCCTGATTTACTGCTTGCAGGAGCAAGAAGCCCAAGAGAGAATCCATTTAAAATACACTGCAAAAATAAATAAAACAAATGGAGGAATGAACTCAAGCTTGTCTACTGCCAACCCCCCTCTGCTTGTGTACATCAATGAGTAATAGACAAAAATGTTAATATTACTGCTATATTGTTATGATTAAAGGTCTTGTGCTACAGGTAGATGACACTAAAAGCTCTACAGTGAAAAAGGGTTTAGATAAGCAAAACATAATTTTCAAAGTATTGGAAAGCCCTTGGCCCTATTTTCATAATACTTTGATAAAACTTGCTCTTTGGTTAGCGTGTTGTTTTCCAAAGGCAAACATTCAGCTTCAGCCGTAGCCAAGAAGAATCACAGTTGGCATGGATGGCTTAGCAGAGGCCAGAGATGGTGCTGTGCACTGCCAGAGGCAAATAAATAAATAAATAAAACCTCTCCCTTTCCTGCTAATTTCAAGTATTGTTTGTTAAAATAGTTAAGCATTCCTAGTATGCTATAAAACTGTTGAATTCAGCAGTATATTTAACTCTTGTCTCTTGGAAAGATTAATTTCTTCATCCTAATTTGTCTATCTTTACAGAAATTAAATTAGAATGGAATTCTTAATGAATTACTGGTGCTGTTCTTTTTTCCATAAGACTGTGAAATAGGGTTTGTGTAAAACTCTCTGATGAAGCTGGAACAAAACACAAATACTGCTGCTTGGCAGTAGTGTCACAACAAACAGAATTTATCAGAGTATCAATCACACATTCAGCATTGGAAGTATTTACTGCATGTACACTAATATTCCAGGTTTTAAGTAGAGGCAGTGGTGCTGGAATATTGATCTGAACAGCAAGTGCAGGAGATTACTCTTGCACGTTGTTTGGTTTGTGATACTTCTGTTGTTGAGACAGAGAGATCGCTGAGCAACTGTAAATGTTGTAGGAGTATTCTGAATACTGTTTGAGGGGTGTCAGAATCTGTCTGCATGGAGAGAGAAAAGCAAGTTATACCAGGGGGATGGCGTCTGCGTGCAGTGAGCTTTCCTACTCACTGATTAAGTGGCCTGCAATTCTGCTGCTGATTTCTGCTGTTAGAGGTCTGGAAATAATATGACAGCATTATGTGACACGGCAATAGCATTTTTATTTGTAGATACTATGTTTGTTATCAGGCTGATAGCTCTGGACAAGAATGCTATTTGAGCACTTCAGGAGTCTGAGAAAACATACTGGATTTCATAGTTTGCTATTAAAGTGTTTGTAAACTTCCAGAATGTTTGCATTCATGAAAAACAGACTGATTTGGAAACCCATAATACTTTCTTATATATTTTATGGATTTTTTTTTTTTTAACATCAAAATTCTGATTTTGTAATCAGTGTATCAGTTAACCTACTTTATTAACACAGCCATAAAATTACTGTAGTATTTTTTCAAAGCATGTGGAGTAAAGCATAATTACAGTCATGTGGTGTTCAGTTTAAGCTAAAAAGTGCAGGCAAATTCATTCCACAGACAGGTAGCTTGGGGGTCCCCACAACATGCCCTGCAAAAAAAAACATGGAGTGGAGGGCAGGGTTGCTTGAGATGATTTTGAACAGAGCCATTCTTGCACTGTGTTTCGCAGCGCTTGAAACAGCACTTAAAACTTAAGCCAAATGCTATACAAAATTGTGTTAATTCTAATAAAAGAGGCTAATGAGGCCTCTCAAAATCCAGAGAACTGTGCAAAGACAACAAAGTTAGGAAAAGAAATGGCAATCAGCACACAGACCAGGTTTTTCTGTTGTCCATGGTAGGCTAACCCTCATGAGATCAAATAAACGACAGTTGAATTCTTTAAATACTATACATTAAGTTAGAAGGTAGGGTTAGAAAAGGTTGATACCAGCCCAGTAACCTTTTGGACACAGTGACTGGAACAGAAGAGATCTATTGGACTGAAACCCATTACAGGTTAGTCCTGCATTTGGCCTGCCGCTTGAAAGAATGTAGCCTTAAAAAAAGGATTAATCTGAGAGCAGTTTTTGGATAAGACATAGAAGAAAAGTAAAAGGTATAGGTTTAGGTATAGGTGACTCATCCAACATCTTTCACAGTATACAGTCCATCAGCAGTATAGATTTTATTTTACCCAACCCTCCATTTGAGTGTGACACCATTCTCACTCTGTGTATAACTTATTTGGCCAATTAAGCATGCTGATTTGGTGAGTTACTGCCTTAATAAAATTGATTAAAAAGACTTAATGAAATACACACCTGGAAATATTTAATCTATCTGACACAGTTTATAAGTAATTAAGGCTAAATCAACACAGTTAGCTAAAAATACCCAGTAATAAAAGCAGGCATGGGGATTTATCTTCCAATATGCAGCAGTGAAGCAGGCAAAGTGACCACCAAAACAATGTTGTTGATTTTGTGAAAATGCGCAGCAGAGCAGATGATGAAAAATTGCAGGTACATAAAGCTGTTGCTATGGTGTTCAATTCTTGCACCACTGTGTCTGGATTTAGTGCCTTAGACTGAATTACAAAATCATATATTCCAAATACTGCTTATCATTTCAACAGAGCCTAGCAATAAATGATAGGAAATGCATTACCCATCCAAAATGTGCAAGAGTATACGAGCGAAGATTGAATTCAGGTTTCCTAAAATGCACACTATTTTTTAACCTGTCATTTGTCTCCCTAACATATACATCGAGTTCATAATTCTGAGGCATTAGGTGGTATCTGAAGACAAAATTTGGTAACTCAGAGCATTTAAGGGATAGTGAGACCATGAAGAAGGAAGGATATATAATACATCTGTAGATCTAATCAAAGTCCATGCTTTAAAGATGAGGAGAAAATAATGGAAACAATCAAAAATTGAAAGTTCAAGTATCTGCACAACATTTCAGGCTGAGTGTGGCACAGCCCTATATGCAATGTGGTGCAGCAGAAGACATTGCTAGATAAATAAATTGTGAGACGGACTTCTAAAAGATAAGAGTCACAATTCTGAGACAACAGAAAGGGATAGTCACGACTTTTCTGAAAGAAAACTAAGAATGATGGCAAAAACACCTTTCCTTGACCTTCCTACCTCCTCACTGTATCTTTTTTTATTATTATTATTTTTTATTTCATCAATATTGACATAGATGGTTTAAACCTGTTTTTCCCTAAATTTCCTCTTTTCTGGGATCTTATATGTTCTGGTCTCTTGATATTCCTCCTTACACCTTTCACCTTGTACTTCAGACGTCCTTTCCCTTCTTCCTTGTTTTTTTTTGTTTTGTTTTGTTTTTCCATATGTCTTCTCTAGCATTTTTCTCATGATAGAGTCTTGAACCCTTCATCATTTTAAGACAACAACAACAAATCCAGTGCAAGTTTCATTACCTTGTGCTTTAACATCATCATCCTGCGCTCTAGCCTTCACTAATACCATCTTGCCCTATTTGTATAACTTGAAAGCATCATTGTGGAGTTGATGTTTATATGCTGTCATCTAGGCTAGCTCACTTTTTCTCTTGATCCCCTCCACAGTGACATCCTGATCTCTGTTACATCAAGCCTACATGATGTAGCTTTACACCACCTCTCCAAGTTTCATGCACCAGTTTCAGCAGATTCCTCGTACTAGAAACCTTCCAAGGGGACTTCAGATGTGAAAACACAGAGAAGGTAAGCAGGCAGAAGTCCTTTCTTCTGTTCGTGCACATGTGATTCTTCCATTAAAACTCAGACATATGTAATAAGTTAGTAGCATGTAAAATACTGCTTCAGACCCCACTCCTGTTTTGGTCAGTGTGGAAAAGTTACATTAATCTTTGAGTAAAATGGAAATAATTTTATTTCTTCTGTCATTTATTTTTTATGGACATTCTTCCTCTCTTGTACAGTGGTTATGATCAGGACATGAGACAAAAACAAGTTTCATGCTAGCCACTGGAAAAACAGATTTTGCCTAATGCATTTTGAAAATACCAAAATTTAAGAATTTAATCACAGATAACAAAAAGCTACTGAGAGTTGAAATGACAGTATCTAATTTGAAGATAAACTGATTTATCAGTGTGGGTTAAATTGAGATTTGGCAAATTTGTGCTCACAACTAGGGACTTTAAAGCAAAATAATGTAATGTGATGTAATAATCAAGTTTAATACTGTGTCAGATTTAGGAAAAGCTTTTATGAAGGTTCTGTATTCTGTGCTATTTGTGTTTAATTGTACAATAATAATAATAATAATAATGTTGAATTAATTATGCTCTATCTGTACAGACCAAATAAACTCTTCATACTTTATTCAGAAATATACGGCTTGAGAGAAAAACAGCTCAGCCAGGACTTAACAGTGCCTTTGCCTCAGAGGTAAACTCACTTATGTGTTTCATGGTAAAGTACCAAACTGTTAGCGTTAGAAAGAAACAAAGGGGAAGTAAAAATAAGAAAACAAAGAGAATAAGAAATTTGAAAAATGAAGGGAAAAGATGATATGTTACTGTGAACAGAAGATGAGAAAATATTCTTATGGATTAGGACATAGCCTTTTACTAAGGAAAATTAGGAGGGCCATAGAACTTGGTCTAATTATACACAAAAAAATACCGATTAAGTGATTACTGTTTACATGGCAATTTTGGGAATATAATACAAAAACATTCTAATGCAGTTGCATTAAGCAGAATATTAACAGGATGTTTTCAGAAGCTTCTAGAGATTTGATAAATTTGCAGAGTATATTGAGGTTTCAGTTTGCTAAGAGCAACACTCAGGCTTCCTAACTTTTCATGGCATTTTTTTCACCTAATGCACTACTGCATAATATCTCAGCAAAACAGAGTTAATTTTTGCCACTTATGTTTGTAATTCAGCAGCCTGTGAGTGCTGACAGTGCTTCATTTTACGCACCGAAGAGGTAGGAGGACTCCCTGGAGAGCACCTCTTACATTCAAGATGCTGACATGTTGGACTTTCTCATATAGCTTCAGATTTCAAGTGAGGAAGAGTTAGAACAAGGTTGTTCCATGTGATGGTAGCAATATGAGGTGTTCAGCACTGATTCCAAGTGTGGATCTGAGGAAGGAGGTCTTCATGGAGTTGCACTTGAAGCTTCAGAGAAATGCTCATGCCAGGCCCCATCAGGGAGAGGACTGTGCCAGTTCAGAAATGAGTTGTGATTGTGATCTGAAAGGCTGCTGCTTCACAATGCTGCAAGTACCCGCCTAACAAATTAAACTTTCACAAGTCAATGAAAAGTGGTGCAGGAGTCAACTTTGTGGTACTCATTGATGGTACTCATTTATGTAAATACTGCTGTGCTGTACGAGGTCAGAAATTACTTGGAAGCGATACAGCAACTTTATTGTTCACTCATGAACTCAAAAGCTCAACTGAAAGAGGCAGTCAACTTAAATTCTTCTGTTGAGCCTTCTTCGAGGCTTTTTTGCTGCTTGTGTAATGGCAGTGCATGTTTGCTATATGGGTTGTGCTGTGCAGCTGGAGTGATCTGAGGTTTAGTGACTGTCCAAGATATGAATTTATTCTCCTTTTAGGACCTAATCTTCACTGTTCTGACCTATAGAAACATAACATGAAATTCAAGCATCTTACAGAACAAATTTTATTTGCAAGGCTGGCACTGACAGAATTGACAGGTGCACTACAGTAGCAGCTACCTACACAACTACTTAGATGTCAGTGATTAATGCCATCCATGTTGCCACTCCAGATTTTTCCAACCAAATGCCTGCAGGTGAGAGTTTTCCTCAAGAGGAATCAAAGAAATTCAGCTGCCTTTTGCTGCTTTCAGAGCCCTGGGTGGGTTCTCCCCCTCCTAACTCTCCTGGGATTGGGCTGCCTGGGCTGAGGGCCTTAATGCAGTTCCCTGGCCTTGAGGCACCTCAGCGGGAGCCCTGCCAATGCTTGGGAGCCACCTTGAAGTCCCAGCCCTGTCCCAGTCATGGACCTTATTCCCCCAGTTCACCACCCCAACCATATGTACTGCTCTGCTAAAAAAAAATTAAAAAATTGTGTTGCTACACTAAGAAAATTTATAGTGGTATAGTCTTAAAAAAACACAATGCAGTGCTGAGTTTTTCAACCCTGAAACTAAGTGGGAAGAGATTGCCTACTGAAGGCATATTAAACACAGATGTAATCTGTAGCTTAGGAAATTTGTTGATTTTTTGAAAGCTGGGAGAGTATACTGAGAAAAAATCATTACTGTGTTTGACCTGTTATTATACCTTTTTCTAAGCATCCAGTTTTTAAACCGCTACATATGTTATGGTGTGGATTTTACAGTTTAACCCATTGTTGGCATTTCTGCATTTACAGTAGTAAAGGTGGGAGTCCTGGTTGTAGTGGGTTTACATGGCAAGGTTTTGGTGGCAGGAGGCCATAAGGGTGGTTTCTGTGAGAAGGATCTAGAAGCTGCCCCATGTTAGGTAAGGGCCCCACTGCTGACCAGAGCCGAGTCAATAAGCGATGTTGTTTTGCGCCTCTGTGAGAGCATATTTAAGACAGGGAAAAAAACGCTGCGCCACACAGCAGTTGGGAGAGTGAGAGGAGTGAGGAACGGCCTTGCAGGAGCCAAGGTCAGTGCAGAAGGAGGGGGAGAGGTGCTCCAGGCGCCGGAGCAGATGTCCCCTGCGGCCTGTGGTGAGGACCATGGTGAAGCAGGATGTCCCCCTGCAGCCCATGGAGTACCACGGTGGAGCAGGTGGCCCTGCACCGACGGAGGCTGCTGCCTGTGGAAGACCCCTGCCCGAGCAGATTCTGGGCCTGTAGCCTGGGGAGAGGAGACCACGCAGGAGCAGGTGACCTGGCAGGAGCTGCTGCCCGTGGGGGAGCCAGGTTGGAGCAGTTTTCTCCTGAGGGATGGACCCCGTGGTACGGACCCATATCTGGAGCAGTTCTGGAAGAGCTGCTGCCTGTGGGAAGCCCACACTGGATCAGTTCATTAAGGACTGCATCCCGTGGGAGGGACCCCACAGCACAGGGGATGAGAGTGACCGAGAAGGAGCGGCAGAGAAGAAGCGCTGTAGACTGACCATAACCCCCATTCCCCTGTTCCCCTGCACCACTCGGGGGGAGGAGGTGGAAGAGGGTGGATGGGGGGGGAAGGTGCTTTTGGTTTCTTTCCTTTGTTTCTCACTTCTCTAGCTTGTTAGTAATAAGCAATAAATCTTACTGTCTCCCTATGCTGAGTCTGTTTTGCCCGTTACAATAACTGTTGTGTGATCTTCTTGTCCTTGTCTCAACCTTTGAGCCCTTTTCACCATATTTTCTCCCCGTTCCTCTTTGAGGAGGGGGAGTGAGAGAGCGGCTGTGGTGGAGCTCGGCTGCCCACTCGAGCGGAACCACCACACTGGTACACTGCTGATACTGTGAAAGCAGGGAGATCCTTGATGAAGATGAATTCCTAAATTACTAAAATTTCTGCACATACTATGTGCTTTTTTGGCCTACTCTGTTGATATTCTAAGTTTGGTCATTCTGTCCTTCTTTGTTTTTCCAGTGTCTGGTCGAGGAGACCATGTCTCAGACTTTCCTTTCATGATGACTTTTCATACTCTCCTTATGAATGGCCATCATGTGGCAGTGTAACAGAAGTACAGGGTACTGAAAAGTAAACACGTAGACGTCTTGTCTAAAATAGTAAGCAGTGAAGCCTGCTGACATAAAAAACCTTTATTGTGTCAGTATTTCTTCATTTCACATTTAAGATATTGAATCGGTGAGCTAAGAATTTCAGATGCAAAAGTAAACCAGAACTCCTTCTGAAGAAATCATCATTAAGAGAAGGTGAGAAAAGACAAAAAATGACTTGGTGGCAAATTTCTTATAAAATGAATGTATACAGATTTTTCCTTTATTTTTATCAGATAACTGTGTAGAAAAAACAGCCACCCTCTAAGGCAAATTTTCATCCTTTTGTGTAAGAGAAACTTTTGTGATCCACTGATTGATATTCTATTCCCTTATATTCAAGAAATTGAAAGGTTTTGCATGCTAGAGGGAATGTTATTGAAACTTTTTTCTGCCTAAGGATTTCCGTATTACATGATAAAGTTATTTTCATTTCACAAGTAGCAAAGGTGGGAAAGATACCTCAAGAAACTAACAAAATCTAATGTTTCCAAAACCAATCCTTTTGTTGACATCCAGTGTGGGATTCACTCATAATTCTGATGTGATTTTACTAACAGTGATAGAGGCATATTTCATTATGGTGGATCTTCATTCTGCTCCAGTGCTAGTGTTTGCTTTTTTTTTTTTGCGAAGTTGGCTGTGTCTAAAAGAGCATGTAGATTTGGAAGAGAGTTTCGTATTGTTGTGCTAACTTACCTTAGTTCTAGCACTGTTTTCTGTTCTGCAGTTCGGTCTTGTTTTTCCACACCTTTCTCTAAGGGATCTTTGTGAGTCTTAGGTCTCTTCTCCTCCATTTCTAAATCTAAAGAAAACAACTACTTCTACTCAGTTCTTGAACATTGTATTATATCCTTTCAGTGGGACATCTGCGTTAGCCAGATGTTGTTCTACCACCAGAGTTTAGATTCTTCTCCCAGAACAATATTCTCCATCATACATAGAAGCACAAGCACAATTTGAGGTGATTCTCTATTTTGTTAAGCCATTTTGACATGACATAGTCTAGAGCTCTTTGGTTTAGGCATGTTTGGTGTCACAGAAATAGGCTGCTGAAGAAGGGGCTTTTGCTGATGGAAAAAAATTGCATACTGCACAACACCTTCCACTATGTGTGAGATAGGTGAGAAATGAGTATGTAGAAAAGCTGGATAGTAGGAAAATAATCAAAAATTGAGATCTACTAAAATAAGCTTTTAAAATGTCTTCATTGCAAAGACATCTGCCCTAAAATAGAAACAGAGAAGAAAGAAAGGAAAGGAGAAAAGGAGGGAGGGAGGGAGGGAAGGAAGGAAGGAAAGAAAAGAAAGAAAGAAAAAGAAAGAAAGAAAAAGAAAGAAAGAAAAAGAAAATGGAATTCTCTTACTGTGAATAAATACATGGTGTTTCAAAGCATGGAAACATAACACTAGGACTTCTTTTTTTTTAAAAAAATATGTGAACCTGGGCTAAAAGCCACATTAAAACTGATCATAAATTTGTAGAGGTAACATAGTCAAAGCACCACATGGCTCCACACTCTACATCTTATTTTCAGGACCAAAATCAGCATATTCTAATGTGCCTGTATCAACTTACAATGAATGAGATTTAGACTTCTTCCTCATCAAACACCCATAGAGGACTGCCAAGGACTCATTAAGCAATCTGCTTGGTTAGCACTCTGGCTACGTCTGCATGTGATTCGATTTATTTGAACTTGTTAGTCCCTAGTGTCAGTAAGTGTGCATGTCAAGCATTGCATGGACAGGTGAAGATAATAAATCAATGTGAGCCCTTTTGGTATATTCTTTTTTTTGAGAGGTAAGTTACGCATGTCACTTCTTTTTCGTGGCTTTGATTCGTGGTGTTGAAATGCATTGATTAATTAGGAAACTAGGAGAATGGTAAGGAATAGTGAATTTTCTGGAAGACTTTTTATATTTCTAAGACCTTCCTGGGTGCTGGACAAAACTTGCAGCCCATATTTAACCCAGTGCCTGAAACCTGTCTTGTGTTTTGAAGAGAGATATAACCATGGCAAAAGTCTCTAAATCTTGATTGAAGCATGTTTAGTACTAATTAGATCTTCTGAGGTGGAATGTAAGCAGAGATCTAAACGGTGTGCAGAGATATCATTGATCATTCTGCAGAAACTGCATTCAGTTCCACCAGAACAGAGAGCTATTCATATGCCAGCAGGCTTGCGTGCATATATATGTGAACATCTCAGAAAGTAAGGAACTACAAGGTCACCTCTGTTTAGTTACTGTCTGCTCTGTTGCTCTAAGTAATGCAAACGGTTTTGTTATGCATTGTTAGCTTGTTTTCCTATTTACCTATGCTATTGTGTGTGTTTGTTTACTTTTTTGTTTTTAAATTTCCCCTGCAGGCATTTTTCTTTGCCTCTAGGTGTTTCCTGCATAAGACTGTTCTATCACACTGGTGGCACATGTGATCTCTAGAGTGGACTATTCAACTACATCTTCTACATCCACAAATATTTATATTTAGAATTGTCAATCATGTTCTACATTTTGATGAGTGGGCTCAGAAGCTGAGGATACTTCGCTTCTCCCTCACTTTTCTTTCTTACATTAAAAAAATGAATATAGCCATACGAACCATTTCCACTTTAATTAGGTAGTCCACATGGATCTTCTCATTAAACACACGTGATACTTGCAGTGTTCAGTGAGAATCTTCTGCAACAAAAAGTTGTGAACACACTTTTTTTTCTTCTTAGATCATTTTATGCATGTTTATTCATCAGGGTGCTGGTAGCCCTCTATGACCACTGCCCCAAACAGGGAGCAGGAGACCTGACCATTATGGCCAGGTCCAACTAAGAGTCCAGATCACAGTGATGAGGCAGGTTTGAGTGAAAATGAGAAGTCACTCTAAATTTTAAGATTAGATCCAGTAACCATCAAGCAGTCCATGGGGCTGAGGCTGGGCCAGCACATCAGCCCATAGGTGAGGTTCAGGATCAGGCTTAGTGCAGGGAACACAGGTCAGACACAGCCCAGAAATATATTTTGGTGAGTAAAGCTGTCCTGCTTGTTTTAAATTTAGAACTACTCAGTAAACTAATTTTAATTTTTATGCTCTGTTCTCCTATGCTCTCCTATCAGGAGAACATGATTAAAATGAGAAGAATGCAGTTTCTCTCCCATATTTATGTTTTCTTTAGGAAAGACCTGAAAATAAGAAAAACAAACACACAAACCCCCCCTTTTTATCATAATCATGAAGATTTTCATTAAAACTTGTAAATGCCATTATTTGACGTTTTCATTTTCTGATAACATATTTTTTGTTATGGAAAAGGCAAAATTACACCTCTTCTTCCAAACCAAATGAAAAATATAGCAAAACAATCTCTGTCTGTTCACTTTATTCATGGAAGCCATTCCTTAATTCTCAGTTTTGCCTACTGTGGTGAGTTGTTTGCACCAAACACGTAATCTGAATTGCACCAATCATAAATCTGAAATGCAGTCTGTTGCAGGGTCCTATGAAGAAGGTCTAAGAATCCTTTTTAGTACAAATATTTCATAAACAGGCAATTTTCAGGTATAATCTAAATGATCCTATGCTTG